TCTGAAGACAGCATCTCCTTGTCTGAAAACCCAGGCATCTGGACTCAGCACAGGCAAAGGTCTCAGCCCCTGGCCACTCATTAGCACCTAGCTCTTCCTTTCGATATCCTGATATATCTTACTCACCAGAGGAGACATCATGTCCTGGAGAAGTCGTTTTCAAATACTAATGAATTTCTAAGAAGATATAGCCTGCAAATGTGTGATTTGTATCTTTTAAAGTATAATAAAAGCAATAGTAAATAAAACATTCAGATCAGCTAACACCAATGTTAAGACACCAAGACAGGTTTGAGGTACGTCATTAGCTTAAGTAGGTTTTGTGCAGCCCACAGTCTGAGATTGCAAGATGAAACTGTTGAAAAAAATCTTGCCATTTGCTAACACTTATCTTTGCAAATCAAGATCTTCACATTAGACAAAGTGTAACTGAAAGCTGAGGCTCATGAAGATTATAACCATCATGCATTACTCCGGACTTCAAACGCCTGTGTCCATCTAAACAACCTTATTGTCCTTAGACTGAATTCAGATGTAAAAGTTGTGTGAACTTATGAACAGTGTTTATAACAGGGTTTTCAACCTTGGCACTATTGACATTTTGAACCGGATTACACTTTGTGTGTTATTCTGCTGTGCTGTGCATTCTTGACTTCTACCCACGAGATGACAATAGCACCCCCGCAACCATGACAACCAAAAATGTCTCCAGACCTCGCCAAGTGTTCGCTTGCAGGCAAAATTGCCCCTGGTTGAGAACCACTGCTTAATACTAATGAAATGTTGCACTTATTTCCTTTTATGCTGGAGTTTTACCTAAAAATTTAGTTGACTAAAAGTTCTTCTGCTTAAAAAATAAATTGTTTTAAAGCATGATGATTTCCACTTCTAGATCCGGGATTAGAATCTCTTTTTTTTTTTATTGGGGAACAGTGTGTTTTTCCAGGACCCATCAGCTCCAAGTCAAGTCGTTGTTTCAATCTAGTTGTGGAGGGCGCAGCTCAGTGGCCCATGTGAGGATCGAACCGGCAACCTTGGTGTTATGAGCACTGTGCTCTAACCACCTGAGCTAACCGGCCGCCCCCGGGATTTGAATCTTGATGCTACCCAACTAGCTGTTTGCCGTTACCTAACCCTTCCGATCAGCTGCCTCATCTGAAAAATGGAAATAAGAACACAGGCATTGGATTAAATGAGACAAGTTAAGTAGGAGAGCACTTAGGAAATGCTCAGTGAAGCAAACCTACTATATATTGTCAAGGCCCCAGGGGCCCAGAGCTCTTACCTGCTCTCTGCAGATTCTTCCGGTAGCCGCTGAGATTCAGCTGGGTGATAGTCTCTGACACGTGCGCCACAGCCACCTGCACGTGTTTTTCAGTGAAGTCAAAGCACCAGGAGAGGTTCAGCTCATCCAATCTGCACACCAGAAGGGCATTAAGGAAAGCAAGAAACCATCACATCAGCATGAGGTCCCTAGGCAGCACTGCCTCAGGCTGCAAAGGGAATACAAAGCCATAGACTCCTTACCATTTTATGCACAGAACCTCTGCTTCTCTAAGCAGCAACCTTTGCTCACCTGAAATGGGAGAAACAGCTTTCTCCCATTTGATACTTCCCTGCCCCAGTTTGCTCCAGGAAGCCGGCAGAGGATCTGAGCCAAGGCTTGAGTGGTTGCTGCCCCCTTGTGGAAATGAAGGGGAGCACTTTCTTCTCTGAGGGCTCAAACCTCATTCCAGGACTGGAAGTCAAAATTCCAGCCTCTGTTTTCTTAACTACACAGGTTGTTAGCAATCAACTACACAGACTAACAATCATCTGAGATGCTTTAAAAAACTGATTCCTGGTAAAGAGATGCTGACATTGTAAAAAGCTATTTCATCTTATTTGGCTTCTAACTGAGCAAAGGGCAGATTCAAAGAAAATGTCCAACCATTAAACCACACACCCCATTCCTGGCATTCCTGAGAAAATGCAGGGTTTTGATAACATTCTTATCCAAAGGCAATCTACTTTTATCAGAGCATTAAGGAGACACAGGTATAATGCTAGGAGATATATGCAGAGACCAAAGGATCCTAAAAAGCAAACATGCACACACACAGTACTCTGTACATATGTAGCCTTTATTTATATACTGACATTATTATACAATATAAAAGATGTTTTTAATGGAATCAGCCAAATTCACGGTGTATATTTGCAATGTACCAAATTTAATCAAAACATGTTAAGTTAGGTCTACAAATATTATAGGGGAAAACACCTGACAGTATAGTTAGGTGTAGACAGATTTCTTTTAACCATACTGTTGATGAACATATTACTACGTTTTCCTTATTTATTAATTNCTGCTTAGGCCAAAACCCCGGCAATCATCCGTGACTGTTTTTCTCACATCCCACATCCAATCTGTTACTAAATCCTGTTTTGTCAGCTTTCAGTATGTGCCCCAAATCGGATCATTTCTTACCACCTCGAATGTTAACACCCTTGTCTCCTACAGCCTTTTCTCATCACAGCACCAGAATGAGACTTTCAAAACATGAGTCAGATCATAGCATTCCCTGCTCAGAATACTCTAATGGTTTCCCATCTCGCTCAGGAAAAAATCTGAACAAAGCTTCTGCCTTAGTTTACAGAGCCCTTGGTTCTCTTATCCTGTCATTGCCCTCCTGCTCGCTGCTACACACTGGCTCCCATAATTAACGCCTTTGCACTTGGCTGGTCCTTAGTTCTAGAATGTTCTTCCCTCACTTATCTGTATATAGAGCTCACTGCTTTAGGTCTCTGCTCCAGTGTCACGTCCTCAGAGAGGTCCTCTCTCTGACCATTCCATCTGAAAATAGCCTGATTACTCTGCTTTATTCTCCCTCCTTGCATTTCATGACATTGAGTTATTTGTTGATTATCTGGCTCCCCCACTAAAACATAAGCTCACAAGGGTGACTTTATGTTTTTAGTTAAAGGCCACATCTCCCAAGTGTGGAACAGGGCTTTGTGCATTGTAGGTACTCAATAAACATTTGTTTAATGATGACTAAACAATGGAGGAAGTGCACAATACAATGCGAAGTGACTCATCATCTAGCCAACCAACCAGCCATCAGCAGAATCCCAAACCAGACCCCCCCCCTTCTTTATGCCACCTGGGAAAGAATGAAGCCCTGCAGGATAGAAGCGGTCAGGCTCCAGCTCAGCCCTCATTTCAGCCCTCCCTTGGTGGGGAGGGTCAGGGAACAGTCCTCACTGCCAAGATTCCCTCATCACGGTCCACTTCATTTCGCCACAAACCGGAGGCCCATTTGAGCTAGACGAGCCCTTAGAAACCACCTAACCCAACCTGTCATTTTAAAGGCGAGACAATTTCAGCTAGAGAAGCCAAGGTCAAATCCAAGTCCAAAAGCTAGGTCCTCCAAGGCCTCGTTCAGTGCTCATCAACTGTCCCCACAGGGAGGCTGTGATGGGCAGGTGGGAGTGGCAATAACAGGCAATAATTACTGAATTCTTAAGAACGGTTGAGCATGCTGCATGTGTATTAACTCATTTATTCCTTACTATAACTCTGAGGAGGGTTCCACTATTGTCTCCATTTTATTGACGAGTAAACTGAGGAATAGGGAAGTGAATCAACTTGCTTAGGAACACCCAGGAAATGGCAAAGCGGGCCAGTTTAGGAGCTAAAATGAAACCCACATTATCTATAATGAGATGCTGTGCCACTGTTAAGACATTAATTAAAAGAAAGCTAACACTTCAATTTACACTCTGCACCTTTGTCCTCACCCTGAATGCATCCAGCAAGCAGGGTTTTAGCACCTATTATTCCTGCCAAAACTCCGTGAACAGGCTACCTATTCTTTTTCAAAGGGACAAAGAGAAGAGTTTTCAGCCAAACTTGGGCAGAATTAACTGCTGTTTGCCTACAGCACAGCTTTTTGACCTTGCACCCAGAAGCTCGGTTCATTTCAGAAAAATTCACAATAAGGAAATGAAAAATTCAGACATGGGAAGGAAACACAAATAGAGCCCTGTCTTCTCTTCTCTTGGGGATGAACAAGGGAGAATTAGTGGCAGATTCAATGTGAAGAACATGCTCACTGGTGGGAGTTTAAAACCCTTGGAAGGCAATTTGGCAAGCACCCTCCAAAGGTTGAGAAGGAAGCCTAACCCTTAACTCGGCAATTCCACTTTTAAGAATTCATCCTTCAAAATGCACTCAAAGATCTGTCTCTGTCCATGACAAAGCTGTCCATGAAAGGAAAAAAACTGGAGATGCCAAAACTCCAATATAAGATCAACTGAATTAATTATTATTGAATCAATACAAATGATTCCACATCTATCTGATGGAATATCACATAGCCACTGAAAATGATGTGGTGCCGCTAATGA